AAAGGACAAACCAAAAACGGACTCTAGAAAGGGCGTTTGTCAGTATATTCTTAAACTGTAATCTGCAAGTACACAACTAGTTGCCACAAAATCTTACACACGCGTTCCTCCAGAACTTTTTATTTGGATAGTTTCTATGTTCATAATGTTTATACTCACTTACGTGTCATTTGTTTTATCACCAGGACCCTCGTGTTTTCTGGCTGGTGACAGGCTTCATGTTCTTGGGAAGTGGCATGATATGGAGACGACTACTGTCATTTCTGGGACGACATCTAGAGCCTTCAATACCCCCTCTAGTAATACACACACACACACACACACACACATACATACATACATACATAGCCTCTCGCCTTTCCTTTCATATGCACCTAGTATAGTGCATGTGCACGAACTAAAGCCACTCTTAACTCCACACACAGTAATAATGCCAGATGAAAGACTGTTTAAAGTCCTATGTCATTTCTCCTGTTAACAATACAGATCCCTCCAGTTTGGAAGAGAAATCTGAAAACCTCAGACATCAAGGCGGGAGTCAGATGATGTTCTACCTCAGCTCTGTAAAACGCCACCGACCTCCCACAGACTTTGCAGCTTTAAAGACGGTTGTCTTACCGCCCCGGACCTTCTGAATTCTCTACAAGTGCTGGAGAGTTTTATTTTTTAACTCACCTCATGGTTCTACTCCAACAGAGCCTGTGCTTGTGTCCCCATCATTGTATTTCTCATTTTAAGTTGTTTTTTTTTCCCGGATGTTCATATCATATCTTCATGTATGTGGATAGAACACGTGGACACAGAGCATTGCTCTGTCATCATTGTTTTTCGAGCAGTGGGTGGATGCGTGGGCGAGTGGCAGCGTTGGGACTGAAACAAATAACAGTCCAACTAATACGACATCCGCCTACATGCAGTTGTACGTTCCCTCATTTCATGTTTAGAAAAGCGTGTTTAAAAGGACGAAATCCTATGAATTTAATAATAATAATAATAATCCAAATGAACGTGTAACGTCTATTGTTAAGGTTTCTAGTGTTATTTTCTTGTAACATCAGTTACATTAGAAGGACTTTAAACATCTACTGCTCTGAAAACAAGGATTTATTAAATGTTGTGATTGTCAACATAAATTAATAAAAGCAAAATCTCATTTTGAGGCATTTCTGACAGAACAATGGCTGAGCTGCTTCTCCTCAGTCTTAAAAAACAACATATTGCCGGTTTTGGTTTTGTTTTATTTTGATGTTGCGCCTCACTGTGAGTGTCTCAAATTGACGTTTGACCAAAAATGGAAGGGCCTTACATACATACATGAGGAGTATGACTTTGTTCTGTTCCTGTTTGAATGAATCCATTAGTATTCGAAATGTTACATTTAAAACCTTCTACCAAAGCAAAGTCAGTGTTATATCGCCACTTTATACACTCTCAGGCCTTACAGCTGTGGTTTCCAACTTGGGTTTCAAGTTGTTGCCAAATAAATCAGACATGTCTTTAGGTGGAACAGGACAGGGACGCAGGAAAAAAACATTTCAGCTACAACAAAATCATGTTTATTTAAAAGTTTATTAGATTATTTTACCTCCTGTTAAACTGGTCAAGTCTGATCGATATATGCAACAGGTGATGAAGGATCACCAGTAGGTCATAGGCCAAACATGTTGGAAAGCACTGCCTTAACAGAACTGTGTATCTTCTCAAATCCTTCATCCTTTGACTGTGTTATATTTAATGCCTATAAAGAAAATATTCAGCCTTCTTGGGATTTTCTATGTTGTTTTTTTAACCACATTGAATCACAATGGATCTAATATCTCAAGACCCCTTTGGCAGCAGTTACAAATTTGACAGGTTAAGACACTTAAAGTGTCAAAAAATCTTAACTACATCCACTGAGAAACTTGTAAAATAAAAACAAAATAACCTCAGACGCTTTAGTGTAAGTGTTTTGAATGAGTTTTATGTCCGTAACCTATTGAACCAAATTTAATTAGATAAATGTTAAGCGTTACCTTTATATTTAAAAGCTAATTTCTCTACAGTGGTACTTTATTGATTTACAGCAAGAGTAATTACATAAAAAGGCCTGTTGTGCTGACTGTCTTGATGGGTGGGAGCATTGAAATGAAGTTAGTACACTCTAAAACCAGATAAGTTCATTTAACTCAAACTATTGTTGAAACTGATTACATTTTTAAGTAAAACTACATAGTATTTTTATTTGTTCTCTGAAAACAAAATACCTAGTAAAAAGTTATTAATCAGGAATGTTTCTCTATCTTATAAAACTAAGTAAGTGTCATTTAAAATTACTTGTAAAATGCCTAATCAGTGTTTTGTCTTACTTAAAAATAATTATGTAATCAGTTTCAACAATTTTTTGAGCTAAATGAACTGATCTGGTTTTACAGTGCAGATGGTGGAGTAAGTGACATTTGCTCTGTTGAATCTGGAATATTTTTGCCCAAACGTACAAAGAGAAAAGGAAAATTATTTTGGTACAAAGAAGACAAAACTTTTGTTTTGTTTGTTTGTTTGTTTTTTCAGTTTTATGTGAAGTGTAACTCGGATTGCTGTCATAACCATTCTTGTGCACTAGAGGGAGTCATATTTATAGTTTAACATCCAGTTTGTAGCAGAACAGGATAAAAACAAAATGGGAAAATGCTACTACTTATTGAAATGTATGTCTTTATAAATTACTGTGTAATAAAACACTGACATATCTTTCTAGAGAAATGTTCTGATTTTGTCAACGTACTGAAAGTTCTATGTAGCAGCTTGTGCTTAGAGCTTTAAACCCTTTCATGTACACACTCATTTCTTCAAAGTGTTTTAGGAACCTATATTATCTTTTCTTAGTTTAGAGAAGTTGCTGTAACTTCTTGTGTTGACCACAGAAGTGTCCATCATGTATGTTTAGTCACTAAAATGAGAATTCATCATTAAGTAGAGTTTATGTTTTTTATCATCAGTCCAACACTTGATGAGCATTTCCTAATATCAGAAGGTAACTTACCAAACCTACAGCTACAGAAATAGGCAGGGGAATAGCTGCCAGTTCGCCTACTCATTATTCAAATGTAACACCAAATAAATTAAATAGTGTCAAACTAATCTAAATTAGATCAGTGAGCGGAGGGTGTTGAGAGAATCAAAATCCTCTGGTTTACTCCGATGATGTTCTCTATGAAAGACACTGATTCACATCAGAGATAATCCAGCAGGTTATCTCAGCCAGTTTGAGCCAGAAGGCATTTGTTTTGATCACATTAATCCTTATAAAGATCAAAGAGGCTTTTAATGCGTTCACAGGTAATCCACAGTATAGAAATACTTACTAATATACACAGATTAGGCCTATATACAGACCACTGTATACCCAGGGGTATCCAGAGGGTGATTGTCTGTACACATATTCTAACAGCAGCATTACATTCACACAGGTAGCCTACATCCTCTCTGCTTTAGAGCCTAGATTTTATCCGTATAATACTTAATTCAATACATTGTACACAGTTCCTCCCGGGAAACTTTTCAGGCTCACTTTCTTGCTTTAATCCCCTCTAGTTGATTAGTAAACGGCCATTATTGCGGAGATTTTGTGTTACCACTTTAATCTTGGAAATGTACTGCAGTTGTATTCAGTCGTATCACAAATACGAGAGAAAAATAGAGAACCTGCAATGAACACTGTAATGTTACTTCACTATGTTAATGTACTGCTTTACTGTCGACACTGCGTCGCCCCCATCTGTCTTCTCGTTACCCTGCGGTGAGAAGAGTGCGTTAACCTTTCTTTAAACTCCTCACATCCGGATATTATCACTGTTAATTATTCTAGGGACGAATAGGGAGCGCGAGACGTTGTGAAAAAACTCTTCCTCCTGAACACGCCCCCTTTCACGCGCACACCCTCAGATTGACACAGACTCAAATGACTAACATCTTAATCACCGTTTAACACCAGTGTGGGCAAATCCCTGTCAGTCAAGTCAACACTTAACAAATGAAATACGAGTGGGTAAAACAGTGGACTAAATCAATGTCTGACAAATGTTTTCCCCTTCACATTCCTTAAATACAGTCTATTTTCTGTTTCCTCTCTTACCCAGGTGTGTGTGTGTGTGTGTGTGTGTGTGTGTGTGTGTGTGTGTAGATAGATAGAG